ACCCGTAATTTTCATCAGGCTAAGCATAATCCGGAATACTATCGTAACAGCTATTCAGTCCAAGGAGTGTTCAATTGTGGAACAGTTTACCTACTATACTTAAGGCTAGCCAGGATCTCTTGTGGTTTAGAGTCCATCTAAATGATCACTTTAGAGGTATACTACAAACTTATAGCCCGCCATGATTGGTCAACTATTTCTCATATTCTCTTCTTACTTAATCTATTATGTTAACCTTCTGAGCCTAGGGGATACGTCATTTGCAATTGGGGCTTTGCTCTCACGTCTCTCCTTTCACATCATATTATCTTATATTTCTCTTATATTATATGTTATTTTATGTATATAATTTCATATTTATATAATGTATATAACTTATAAATTTTTCTTATATCATCTGCTACTTTATGTATATAACTTCTTGTGACAAGTCACAATAAACTAAACTAAACTAAGCTTTATTACAAAATGCTTAGGCCATTACAAAATGCCGTATCGCACGCGCTATTTTTAACATCTCGTTAAAAACTTGTAGTGGTGTTACTTAAAAGATACACTCGTTTTAAGCCGGTCAGGAGCGCGTTATTATTTAATGTATATTTTTATGAATGAAACAACCATAAGGGTGCTATTGTATGTTAAGAGCAGATTTGGGGATAGCAAATGCCATGTAGGGCTTGACGTTCCTTGACGCAAGATATATCCCTTGTCAAAGATATACCTTTCCTGTTAGTTTTTCTATCAGCTACGGTGTTCTTAGGTGGTCTTATACTCAATATTTTCAGATTCAGCACAATCAAAGAAGTATGTGGTGGCTGTTCCGCCATTTAAGATTTGCCTTTTTCACTTCTGTCATGGAGTTTGTCACAGCTAATGATCTATGCGGGACAGAAGTAAACATACAAGGTATGGCTCTCAAGCGCTCTGTCTTCAAAAGATGGTCAGTGGCGGCTCCTCATCTCTGCGACGTTAAATGTGGACGGGAGATCACGTGCCAAAGTTATAACTACAATCGGAAATACCAAATATGTGAGCTAAATAACCGCACCAAGGAGGCGAGACCAGTCAATTTTCTTTCAGCCCCTGGATGGTTTTACATCCCACGATTGAACGGCCGAGGTAAACAAAAAAGGTCTATGTAGCTAGGTGTTTTAAATTTTTTTAAATCTTGTCTATCCTAGGCCAGCCCGGTTCCTTCTCATCTGATAGCACTTAGAATATGAAGAAAATGAAATACTTGTCCTTATCATATGTCCCGTCTGGTCCCGCTCGCGCAGTCCCATAGAAAACCATACTAACAGCTGACGTGTGAAGGGCCGAACGAGTTGACGTGCGCCGGTCCGGAAAAAAGCCGCCCTGCTGCCCTCCCGTTGCTTTGTTACAAAAACTTAAAAGAAAACTGACAGAAATGTGAAAAAAAGTCACTTTTTCAAGAAATTGTGAGTTTCTTGTTGTCTTGGAAATTAAAGGAAAAGTTTTAATTGCTGAAACTTTTTGTGCTCGTGTGGCTGCTTGTGCCCGTCTATCGCCTCCTATTTAGGTTGAAATTTTCATCCCTTAGTGGTCATATGATAAATTGCTTATTGACTGAGTTTGGTCGGACCGGTCATGAGGCACGGACCTCGCGTCGCTTGGTCTCTACGTCATGACGANATCATGCCAACATACATTAACTAAACCTGTGCATCCAATAAATGATTTTTTTTCGAAAAGAAAAGTAGATTAATGCTGTAGTGGCTGCTTGGTTGCTAATATGAAACTGTTGTGGCATATAATGTATTAACAAAGTATCTTTCAGCAATAGCTATTGCCTCAGTACTAAAAATAATTTCTAAAAGGCGATTTGATTATAGTTAAGCTTGAATTTCTTCTTTCGTTAAAATTATCTCAGTTTCTAAATCAGTGTTTCTTCCAGATATTAATGAATGCAGCAATGGAAACCATGTCTGTGACGTGAATGCGAACTGTACCAACACTAGGGGCTCTCACGATTGCACCTGTAAGAAAGGATACGTTGGAAATGGGACATCGTGCCAAGGTACGTCATGGTAGCCTCGGCAACCTTCAAATGGTACACTGAAAATGACCAAAAGGGTCTTTTCAAGTTGAAAAAACTTGTAATTTATTTGAATTTGAACCTTCATTGAGTTTGCATATACGTGAACACTCCTTAATGATTTAACCAAACAAGGTAATATTTTCTTTAGCTGAGGAGTGTCTAAACTACTCAAGCCTGACCAGTGCCAACCGTAAATCCACAATCCCTCTAGCTGGGTCTCCTTTGTGCGACAATTCAATCTCTCTTGGTTGGTATCGTTTCCAAGGAGCTGCAGGAACAAAAATGCCAACCACTTGTCCACCTACTCATAGGTGTGGGGCTCATATCACGAGCTGGTTAGATGGTGTTCATTCCACAGTGGCCGAAGGTCAGGTTACCAGGAACGTCTGCTTTCACTTGTATTCAAATTGTTGTCGATGGTCCACCAGCATCAAAGTGAGAAACTGTGGCTCCTATTACGTATATTACTTCTCTGTTGTACCTGTGTGTTATGCCCGCTACTGTAGCACAGACTAGCTGTCTCATATATTCTTTATATTATTTCTAAGGTCTTACTGTTTCTTATTTCCTTGGCTGAGTTTGTTGTTTTGGCTAAAGTACCCTTTCAGTTTCAGTAGTGATTGAAATACAACATCATTTAACAATTGTAAAAACATCGTCCAGCAAAAGTTGTAAATACATAAACTTAATTAATCTATTTATCATCAATGATTGATCATAAATAGATTTTTTTTGGATGAAACACCACATTTTCCTCGCGAATTCACTGGAAACCAGAAGCAGTTAAGAAAAGAGAATTACTAAAAAAATCACTTGAAGTTGAAGGGCTAAGCAGCTCAACTATCTTTGAACGCTTTCCAAACTATTTTGTGTTTTCCAAAAT